GTTAATATAGTAGATAGCATTTTGTTAGCTATTAAATTAAGATCTGTTTGGTTAGCAAATTCTTGCTAAAGTTTAGTTGTTATTTCTTTAAAGTTAAAAATTCTTTGTTTTGTTTTAGATTTGTTTCTGAGTTTGCTAAAGAGAGCAAAAGAGAAGAACTATTTAGAAACTAAAATTTTGTAGTCACTATTAGTTATGGCAAGAGAGTCTTCATAGTAAAAGTTTGTTATGAATTATATAGTTAGATAACATGCTCAGATATAGTTAATTTTACTGCTATATCTGCTACTTTGCTAGATATTTTGTTGGTTAGATATGTAGTCAACAAGATCATATATATTAATACTATGTAAATAAAATAGTAGATGAGTTTTGGAGGAAGTAGTAAATATAAAGTTTGTAGAAGCATTAAAGTCTCCTAGAATTATAGAGAAAAGGTTTAGATTTAAAGCTTATTAAATTCATTGCTTAGTTTTCTCTTAAGTAGAATCTCTGTGAGGTTTGTTAGATGTAAACAGATATACAGATATAATTCTAAATTTGAAGTCATGTTTGAAGAAGAGATCAATAGCAACAGTATCTCCAAGGTATGTTAATATATTATGAATATATAGTTTGAGGTTATTATTAACTATGAGTGCAGTTCTTTTTGCAGAGTTTCTAAAGCTTGCTCAGAAATATAAAAATTGTTTAGTATTAAGAAATTTTTGAGAACATAGAGTATTAAGTTTAGTTTTAGTAATACTAGCAATATTGAAATTTTCTTTGAAGCAGTATTCTTCTCAAAGCTGCCTTTTAGTTAGTATGTTAAAGCCTTATATATTATGAGTTATTATATTAAGATTAAGAATATAATGAATATTTGAAGGTAGATTAGATAATAGATTAGATATAAGGTTAGTATATTGTAGTGATGGATTAGTTTATGATTTGAGTAGTAGATTGTAATATATTGGAAGATAGTAGAATTCTATAAATAAATAGTTTTTAAGAAGAAAAAGATTATTAGGAGTATATATATGTACTTCACTAAGTTTCAGGTTAAAAGAGAATATTGTTTTATGATTAAAGTTAAGAGATTTTAGACAAATAAAGAAGTATTTAATAGATTAATTATTATTTAAAAGAGGAAGGTTAAAGTATATTAGGAATTTATTGTAGCATAGTAGTAGTCTTTATTGTTTTGGTTGTATTGGTGATGAGGCTACAATATTAATATCTCCTACAAGATTAGAAAGGATTAGTAGATTTGTAAAAAACAAGCTTACTGAAAAGGAGGAGTTTGTTTAATTTCTAAGAATAATAAATCTACTATTTCAACTAGTTTAAAATTGATATTGAATTTTTATTTTAGAATCTTTTCAGCTTCTAATATAGTAATTGTTTTGTAAAATTCAGTTATTGTTTTGTAGATTGGAGTATTATTAAGTATAATATCATAGTATGTGATTATTTATACTAAAAAGTGAATATCAATCAGTTGTTCTGTTAGAAATTTGATAACTTCTTCTTTGTTTAAGAGGTTTATTTTGTAGTTTTGTACAGCCTGATTATAATAGGCTATTAGGTATTGATAAAAGTAATAGTTTTTGCATTTAGTATTTGTTTTGATATTATTAGCTTTGCAAGCATATTCCTCTGCTGAGTTAGCTAAGTTATCAAGGAGTTTAATAGGTATTTTAGCTTTTAAAATAGCTTAATATTCTCTGTTAGTGTAGAAGATAGAGAAATCTAAAAGTGTGAATTTTCACTGTTCATTTTCATCAGGTGAATAAGCAACTTCTAAATATTTTATAACTGCTTTAAATAGTTAGTTAGAGTTATATTGTTTGGTTTGTTTTGTTTCTGTTTTTTTTTGGTTTTCAGTATTTGGTTTATTCAATATATTAGTTGCTTTAAGATATTTGTATTTATCATTCATACATATAAGAGTATAGTGGTTAGAAAAATAAGTTACTTCTATTTGGCATTTGTATTAAGTATTTAGTTTTTTTATTTTATATTTTTTTGGGAGGAGTTTGGCTAGGTGAAGAAAAAATGTTATCTAATTTGATGTTTAAAATAAGTAAGTGTTTTTTGTTTATCAATAGGTTTGTTGAATTGATATGAATAGGCAAGGAAGATTTTCTCAAACTACTTGTTGAGATTGTCTACTGAGTTTTTTAGAAATAAAACATTGAAGTTGTTAAGAAAAAGTGTTTTAGAAAAATTAAATAGTATTTTAATAATAAATCTTTAATTAGAAGAGATAGTGAAATATTTTTTTTCTTAGTTTGTATATTTAATTGTAGAGTTAATTTTAAACCTTTTGGGTCTAAGTTTAAAGTCTTCACTAAATTTGGTATAATTAATAAACTGAAAGTTATTAGTTAGGTAAAGATAAAGTCATGCTATATTTAAGCAGATTTGAAGACAGTTTTGAATTTTGTGTAATAGAATAGTAATAGAAGATGCAAAAATCTCTCCATAGTTTATCTTAGTAAATAAAATAGTCATAAATTTTAGTAATAGATCTTTTAAAGTAGATTCAATAAGTTTGAAATAAATTGTTGCATTAGAATTAATGTCTGAGTTTGCTTTATAGATGAGTTCTGTTAGAAACTCTGGTCTTTGGCTAGCTATTATACGTATAAAGTATTTAAATAATATTTGTTCTGAAGTAAAGTTAGAAAGGTTTTCTTTAAGAAAGTTAAGTAGTTGAAATAAAAGCTTAGTTTAGAGTTTAGTATTTGGTTTCATTTTCTCTATGATTAGGAAGTTAGTAAGCTAGTTGTATACTAGGTTTAGTTTGAGTTTGTTAGTTCTAGTATAAGGTTTTAGTAAGTTCTTGGTTAAGATATTTGAATAAGAAGGAGTTTTGTTAGGAATAGGTTGAATGGAAGTAGTATTAGTATTTTTCTCTTTTGGAATTAGTGTTTTTAGTAAATCTAGTTCCATACTATCTGAGTTTGTTAATAGAGTTTGATTTTTAGTTTAGTTATCTTTTAAAGAATAGAATGAGTTAATATCTATATCTGATAAGATTTTTTCTACAGTAAGAGTAGTATTATATTGTTGCTAAGTATTGGTATTAGTTGTTAGAATTAAAAGAGTTAGAGAAAGAAAGAGTAGATTTTGGAATTGTTGTTGTTTTTGAAAGGTAGAGGTCAAGTCTTTTTTAGTAGAAAAGAAGTTATGAGTTACAGATAAAGTAGAGCTAAAGTTAGTAGCAGAGGAGGAGTTAGTAGTATTGTTAGAAAGGCAAGCATAGTAATAGATATTATTTTCATAAAATATAGTATTGTTAGTTAGTTTATAGTTGTTATTAGAAAGTTTGTATCTGATTAGGAGCTAGCATTTTGAGCAAGTATGTTGGCAATGAGTTGGTATAGGAGAAGGTAGAATGCTTTCAGTAAATTCTGAAGAAAAACTTTAGTTTTTTTGTTGTTATAGTTTACAAGAAGAGTAATAAAACAAAAGATAGTAGTGTTATATTCAGTATTGTCTGCAGAGATAAAGCTAGTATGTAGTTACTACAGAGGTATTTGGTAATAGCTGAGATTTTAGGTACAAAGAGAAAATGCATAGTTATAGTCTTGCTTTAGAGAGTTTTAGTAAAACAAGTAACTAGTTTACTTTTAGATAGGATTAGTATAATGTTTTTTGGATCTTCTTTATAAAAAGATACTTCAAAAGTATCAAAATACTTTCTATAGAAATAGTTCAGATTAAGAGTATCTTGGATTTCACTAATTAAAGTAGGTATATTAATTGTATTAATTGTAGATATATGTTCAGATGTGATGAGATCAGAAAGAGCTTTTCGAGAAGATATATTTTGTATTGCATAACAATGAGTGACTTGTATAATTTGTATAACTTGTATAATTTAGATCTGTGTGCCCTATAAAAAATTTTTATTCGTTATATTCTGATTTTAATTAGATATTTTAATAATATTCCGATTATATTCCAATTAGAAATCTTAAAAATTTTATATAAATTTTTAATATTAAAAATATTCAGAAAATATTCCAAATATTTTAATTCTATTCCAGATAAAAATTTTAAAAATATTATATAAATTTTTTAAATTAAAAATATTCCAAAAATATTCCAAATCTTATTTAGATTTAATTTAGTAAATTTTAATAATAAGATATATTCTGAAAATATCTCTGGAAATATTCTGATTTAAATTTATATAATTTTAATTCCAAATAATAAGAGAATATATTCCGAAAATTTTTTAATTTAAATTTATATATAAATTAAAGAATTTTGCTAACCATAACCGTGGTGATCATCACTACAATCACATGATCACAAACTATAGATGCATTTAATTGATCTATATATAAATTATATATTTGATATTTATATAATGATAAACAACTAATTTGGATTGCAACTCTAATTACTATATACCAATACACGATTGTCAATTGCCTACTATGTATTAATAAAGCATATATAATATAGTACAAAAATACAAATGCACTTTATCTAACACGAGCAAAAGTAGTTATTTTTAACTAAATTATATATACATACAGTACGTATAATCACTACATAAAATACAGGAAATATAACAATAAAACTTAATTTCTTTATATGTATAATCAAGCAATACACCAAGAACAAAACCTGTATACAACCTAATAGTGATAGTATCTCTGATTTAGATTTTCTATATTATTACTGTTATAGTAAATAGCTTAACGAATTTATCTATTGACTGTAACAAAAAGGTATTCATAATTCTACTTAATGTGACACTAGCTATAATATTCATACTATTATACATATTAATAAAGCAAAAACTATAAATATAAATAGAATTTATAGTTTAAAAAGATATGTTTAGCTCTAACCAATACATGTATATATGTACATATGTATATGCATAAATAAAATTTTCATATATCTAACTTCTAGCGAAATCTGAGTACCATTTACTCTTGATATTTATATTTCCGAATATTATGACCAGATCTACCACATGCTTTACATACATATTTCTACTTAACAATATCTTCATTTACAGTGTCAGAAGCAATAGCTTCATCTTTGCTAAGAGTATTGTTAGCATCAACTTCTTGGATATCATCAAGTGTGTGAATAGGATTTCTATATATATATTGTTGTCTATCTTTATGTATGTTCAAATTGTAGTCAAGTAGACTAATTACGCTACTTTCAGAACTATTATCATGTAACTTATTATCTGATGTTGTTTTTAGTAGACGTCTATGTCACTTTTAAACAGAGGAATCCGAAGTATACAAATTTCCATTATTTGTATTTTTATATACCAACATATTTAAATTAGGATTAGTAGGGTTGATTGCACTATTTCTGGAATCACCATATGACTTTTTCTCTGATGCTAATTTAATACATTTATTAAATTGGCGTTCACATCGTTTTTGAATTAAAGGATCTGAAATATACAAATTTTCTTTATCTTTATTGTTTGCATTTATAATGCTACCTTTTTTTACAAGTAATAAAGCTGTTGACCATATCTATAAATTCATCTTTGCAATTCAGATCAAGTACCAAATTCAATGCTTTTTTAATCTTTTTAAAACCCTGAGCATATCTTACTTCCCTTCTTAATTGTTTTTTCATTTTAAATGTAAATACGACTGTTGGTTTGAATGTATTAAAAATATGTAAATCATTTGATATTTCTGTATAGTTTTCTTGCTGAAATTGAGTTACTACTCTGACTGTGTGTTGTGAATTTAGTTGATCATCATTATCTTGAATATCTTCTAGATACTACTGCCTTGCTATAAGTTCAATATTAAATTTAGCATTTTTTGAACTTATCATAACCTGAAAAAAATGAGTACACACAAGTCTGCGACTTGTTACAGATAGACAAGTACATAAGTATCTACTATCAATTAACAAAATAATATAATATTTATTCAAATTTACAATTCCTAAAAGTTCCCAGATTTCTATAATATCAGATGGTTGTATATTATCTAAAAGTAAACATAGTGAAATTTGCTATCTATCCAATTGATCCTCAAAAAAGCCAGCATTATAATCTAGCTAGTTAAAATCTTCATGAATAAGACTGACTTATTTTTTAGAAATTAGATTGGCATGATATAATAAAGATCCACAAATTTGTTGTTCTTGAATAGAAAGAATATGTGTTGATAAATATTTTTTCATTAATTCAAATACTTTATGAAATATAGGTCCAATAGCTGAGAGAACCTGATTAGTTAGAATAGTTTGAAGATACGTATTGTGACAGGCCTATTGGGCTTCATTATCCAATAATCGTTAAACTTAATCATGCAAAGTACATAAAGAAGAAGTGCTACTAGTACCTTCTTTAATTAACCTATTCATTACTTTGACTCTCTGAGTGCTTTGAATTCCAGCTGTAAAATACCTAACTTGAAAACACTTTGCCTATTTTCTATAACAATTATGTAAAGTATGATTAAGATATCCTTGAGACTGAGGATATTGTTCAAGCAAACGTGTCCAATGACGATAAAAGTCATCCTCATATAAGCTGTTCTGAGCATACAAGAATTGTTTATAAAATGATTCAAAATTTTGATCTAGTTTACTTTGTAAATTTTTGCACAAATTCTCTTGAATATAGAACATGCAAAGAAAATAGTTGGTAGTAGGCATTTTTAATAATATAGTATTTATTAATGCTAGTTCTGCATCATAAAAGAGACAAATAGGTGGAATATTGTTAGTTGCTTGAAGAACACAATTGAGATACTATTCTTAGCTTTCAACTATTTCATCTTCTAATAAACATTGTGCAACAAGTCTACTTTTTGTATTATTATTGACAACTACTAGTAAAGCTAAATACATATCAAACTAGTTAGTTCAACATGTATTATCTGTTTGTACAATATCATTATAATATATAAGACACTGATGCTGAGAAGGCGACATCCAGAACAATCCGACAAGTCGATTGTCAAATGGATCAAGTTTTGTATTAATGATCCAGCCAGGTTCTTAGTCTTTTAAAAGTAACAATTTATTAATTATATGTTGAGCATCTCCTTGACGTTTGATAAAAGGTACTCTAAATTTTTGAACGATATTATAAAGGTCTTTCTTATGAATAAAATGATCAGAAAATCTGCAACAAGTATAGGGTAGATTTGTTTTGAACATATATTTCCTTTCGTAACATAAAACTCGATCTTTTTCATTATATCATCTGATAACTTTCGATATTTAGGATTATACAAGGCTATATTTGGTGCCATAACATGATTATACTAACTATATACTAGTAACTATTATTTTAGATGATGACTTTGATATGTTGATGTTTATATGCCATAGGCATTTGATTTTTTTAGACAATCGATGATGCTAACAACTTGAATCAATCACTTTATTTGATATCTGTTCGCCAGAAAAACTATATTCAAATGTTTGACGACATATAATCCTAGCATTGTTAACTTCAAAACATTTACGGTATAAAGAAAATTCTATTGATTTAGTATATTTTTTGAGATGTAATTCAGCTATTTCCTATGAAGAAAAAGAGTCACCAATATTAATAATAAATTCTTCTATTGAGTTATTATAAGTATCTTGAACGACATTTGATTAGTTGTTATAAATATTTATAAGGTTATCTTGAGCAGCTATTTCATAAACTTCCTTATCAAAGTTGTCTTGAATATTATTCACGTGATCTTCCCTGGCAAATATATGATTGTCTTGAATAATTGTTAAATTGGACATTTATAAGGTCTTTATGAATGGCTACTTGGTTGTTATCCTCAAAGTCATCAGCAAAAGTATCTGTATAATCTTCTTTAACGATCATATAGTTGTCTTAAAAATTAGGTAATTGGTCGTCTTTACTACTTATACCAGCTCAAGTAGCAACCACTTCTCTATCATATTCGTCAAAAGTTATATTGTTTTGAAGATCTTCTAGAAAGTCATATAAATAATCTTACCCATAACGATAAAGGTTATTCCTTTTAGTTTTCTTATTACATTTCTTATTTCATAGAAAAGTTAAATAGACAAATAAGAGTTAAATATATGAACTCACCTTCCATTACTTCTGGCTGCTAAAATATAACTCGAAAGTATGTATGTATATTGTACTAGTTAGATTTACTTTATTTAAAGTTTTTTGTTTCTTTTATAATCACTTAATATTTCTTTAACATAGAAGAAGTTACAATTAGCTAATTTTTGTTTAAGCGAAAAGAAGGTAAGTGTTATTTGTATAAAATTTGAAATTTCAACTAACTTATTGGAATGTCAATATGCCAAAAAATTTTCTATACTTATTATTGGGTATATTGTTATACATTTTTCTAACAATTTTATTTTTTTGTTTTGATGATTAGATTTTTTGTTTTGACAGTCTTATTGAAATGCTGATATGCCTATCGGATAAATTGTAAATTTTTTTCTTTTATTATTTATGCATTTTTTTTAACAATTTTATTTTTTTGTTTTGACGATTAAACT